AGTTTCACTTCCGAATATTGTTCAGAAATTATAATAGAACGAAACGTGTTAAACTGTCTCCCTTCCCCTACTGTACCACGATTGCAGAGACACCCTGTACAGTATCGTGCCTATTCGTCCGAGCTGTGAATCTAAGAAACGCTCTTCTCCACCTAAATTCCCCAAATTTCACATTCAAAAATTCTTCACGAGTCGTTATCAATTACGATAGAGCGAAACGCGTGAAAGTTCGCGCGAGCGTTAATTACATAAATCGAGGGTGTTTTAACGTGTCACAGGGTATATCGCTTCTAACGCCTGAATCGTTCAATTGGAATTTGTTAGAGGACACGTTATACTTAACAGGTTCGTTATCAACGTGACATATGTGTGACGCGCCAATTCATATGATAGATCGCTGTTATCTACGTGTGATGCATCATACAAAATGCACAGTTTGCGTATTTAATAGAAATTACGTGTGCACAAGTGCAGGCATGCGTTGCATTATGTATAGCTGATAAAAATGTAGATATCAGGAATGTGAGCAGAAGTAATACGATGCTTTAACGAACATGTGAAATTACCGGTGAAATGATTTTTTACATATAACGGGTGTCCTAATTCGTTCTGATCAAACTTTGCCAGTATATTCTATAGACATAACTAAGCAAAAAATGTTATATGAACATAGGTCGTTTGAAGCTTCGTTTAAAAGTTATAACAATAATACGCGACGAATTGAGGTTATGTTACAAAATAGGAATAGATCGGACGATACGTGTATCTAATCCGTTTATGCAAGCTGTGTTTAACAACTAGAGATAGTTGAAGATGACAAATGTAACTTCTGCCAGCGCCATTTTTATCTTTCAACTTCGTTATCATTTTTGTCGTAACTTCTAAACGAAGCTTCAAACGACCTATGTTGATAGAACATTTTTTTCTCACTTATACTCGTAGAACGTATTGACAAAGTTTGATTAAAAAGAACTAGGACACCCGGTATAGTCGAGATATGCTTTACACGAATTTCGACTGGAAAAAAAAAAAGCAGTAACAATTGAGAACATCGGATATCTGTCGCTCGATAGACATACTCTGGGGAGTGTCTATTGGCACTTTGTTGTCCTGACACAGCACGGATGCGTTTTGGACTTGGGAGAGTTGGACAAGGAACGATTGACGTGGATCTGTCGAGTGGTGTGTTATCGAACAATCCTGAAATATCGTTAAACCTTGAATCACTCTTTGTCGTACCTTCAGTTTTCCGCGTAAATTTTTCTCCCAAATAAAAGAACCTTACAGCCGTCGTATCTCTCATAGTGGAATAAAATTGAAAAAAAGAAAAGCTGTCTTTTTCTTCCTCACTTGGCAGTAAAAAGAATCGCTATCTTTCGAATACGTCGTTCCAACAAAGTGAATAAAAGCTGTGAATTTTTACTACAACGGGAATAATCATCAAACCAGCTGAGATTGAGATCCTTTAAACGTACTTACTCCCACAGATTACAGTCTCTCTCTCTCTCTGTTTCTCTCGGCGCATAGAGATGATTTCGCGACGAACAATTACCCCGAAAGGACTTTCGCTGGACAAACAGACCGCGTTCCCTCTGGCTTTCATCGCGAAACGACCAAGAGCTTTACAGCTCGTAACCATAATCGTCTCCCATAACGAAAGGATTAAGCTCGACCGGTAGACACATTCTCCCCTCTCTCCCCCACTTTTCAACCTCAGCCCTCTATTTTTCTAACCGAAATGACTCTCCCTCTCTCTCTCTCTCTCTGTTTCTATGAGCGAAACAATAATCCTCACTCCACTCTGCCAGAAAACTGTCGAGAAATTAAGGTCGCGATATCTGCATTAAAGGAAGGGAACTCGCGCAGCGGAGAAACGCGGCCGTTTCGCGGCTAAAGAAAGAAGATCAAAGAAGTCGATTACGTGCACGCGAAGATGAAATCTATCCTCGCTTTTTAACATACGCGAGCAATTCGCGAAACGAACTCTGTGCCTGTAACGCCTCCCGTCCCTATTTCTCCTTCTTCAACGAGAGAGAGAGAGGAGAAGAGAGGAAAGGAAAGAGCAAGAAAGCAAGAAGCAGAAGAGGAGAAAGACGAGAGAGTGGAGACAAAATACAAAGAGGGAAAGCAAGGAAAGAAAGAGAGCAAAAGGCAGAAGGGACAGAGGGTGAAAGGTGACAAGAAACAGAAGAGGAGAGAAAAGACAGAAGGTAGGAACGAAAAGAAAGAGAGCAAGAGACACAAGAAAAGAGAGCGAAATGCAGTAGAGACATAGGGAGAGAGGTGACGAGAGACAGAAGACAAGAGGAGAGAAAAGGGGGAGAGCAAGAGACACAAGGGAAGAGAGCAAAGGGCAGAAGAGACATAGGGAGAGAGCAAAAGGCAGAAGAGACATAGGGAGAGAGCAAGAGACACAAGAAAAGAGTGCAAAAGGTAGGAGAGACATGGGGAGAGAGGTGACGAGAGACAGAAGAGAGATAGGGAGGAAAACACGCACAGATACTAAAAGAGAGAGAAGATGGACGTGTATGTAGGCACAGGATTACGCAAGCGGGCACACATACGTTGGTGAAAAAAAGGAACGTGCAGGCGGTGCCTATAGGCAAGAAATCCAAAGGTTGCGCCGCGTTCGACGCTATAGAACGCTGCGGCCATTGGAGAACGCGCGGCAGAGGGCTGCAGCCGCAGTTCTGCGGTCCACGTGGCGCGGAACGATGCGGTAGCATAGAAGCGGATCGAACGGACCGATTACCGCGTGCAAGCGTTGCGAGCCAGCGAATTTTCCCCGCCGCACGGGGGGGAATCCACTGTTTCTTTTTTTTTCCTATTTTTATTCTATTTTTCCCTCTTCGATCGAAATTGCACACGGAATTTTCGGGGATGATTGCATCCTGCAGTTCCGGCCTTCGCCAATGATAATGCACCGGCGTATCCTTCTTTCACATTTCATATGCAAATTCGTCACAGTTTTTTCACAGAAAATTTGCGAAAATTAAAGGCTAATTTGGCGAAAGTGATTAAAATTCCTCCCAATAGCAGCAAATTTATTCATGAAATTTTCTAATTTAGCGAGAATCAGAAAATTTAGTAAAAATTAGAAAATTACCGAGCAGAGAATCTCTTCTAAATAATTAGTGGCCCGTCGTCTTTCACATTTTATACTGAAATTTTTCATCATTTTTTTCGCTTGAAATTTAGTTCTTTAAAAATTCGCAAAATTTGAAAACGGTTTAAAGAACACCAAATTTATTTATAACATTTTCTCCCAATATCGCCAAGTTTATTTCTAAAAATTTCCCAAATTAGCCAAAAAGACAGAAAGAAAAATTGCCTCACTCATCGCCGAGCCCACAATCTCTCCCAAACAGAAAACAAGGATGAAGACTACATTTCCTTAAATATTCCCCTTCACGTTCACTCCACTTCTACGCCACCCTCGCTTCTCCTTTTTTTTAATATCCGGAATCCAAAGCAGCGAACAACAAACGCTGGAACA